TTTGAAGCTGTTTTTTCGACACTGCCTGTAAGATTCCCTTTCTTATATTTCTCCCATTTTGCTTCATTTTGCCATTGCATGCTTTTCTTTTGTTTTTTTTTTTTTTTTTTTTTGTTTTTTTGTTATCTTAACAATGGCAGTTACCCATTATAACTATTACATACTTTTTTAACAGAAGGTGGAGGAAAAAGAGTTGGGGTCAAACACAATACATTTTAATGATAATTTTATATTTTAATAGTACTTTTAACATATAAAATAAGGATAATGATATATTTAGCCTGCCAACCGACACACGTTACACCATTCGGTTAAAAAAATATAATATGAGTTAAATACATTTGTATAGCGTAAAAAACTCATCCCTTGCTTGTCTGGGTTATCTCCTTTGAAATCCCTAGTCTTGAAGGCAATTCAATCCCTCCAAGCTCTACAGACTCGTCCCAATTTGGTGAAACCATTTCAATCGGCCTTCCCGGACTTCCATTTCTCCAAATCCAACCTCCATTTCTCCTAATCTGGGTTATCTCCTTCGAACTCCCTAGTCTTGAAGTCCAATTCAACCAGCCTTCCCTACCTCCATTTCTCCAAAACTGGGTTATCTCCTTCGAAATCCCTAATCTTGAAGGCCAATTCAATCGGCCTTCCTCGATCTCCATTTCTCCAAATCCGACCTCCATTTCTCCAAATAGTGTACATTTCAGCACTTGGGCGATTGATTTGGTGAAACCATGTCAATCGTCCTTCCTCGACCTCCATTTCAAATGAGATGGAAACCTGTATTGAAATGAAGAAAACGAAGACTGTGCATAGATGAGATGCAGGGATGTGTGGGTTGACAGATACCCAAATGAGCCTTTTCAAAGCCATACTTGGGTGAGATGTTGTATTTAGATAGCAGCCAGACAAAGGTACAGAGGATTCTTGTCTTTGTTGCAAAGATTTAAAGATTCGTGTTCTTGTTTCGTGCCTACCATTAGAACTTATCTCTCTCTTCTTTAATTTCTAAGATTAGTATGCTTTGAATTATTTTTGGGAACAGTTTTCTTTAGCTTAGAGAGACAAGGAGATGAATTGAGGTGGGGCTGAATCATTACAGTTAAGAACTCTTTGATTTCTCAATTTGTCTATTTTCATGCAAATGACATTGATAAGCAAGATTTGCTTTTGAAGAAGGTGTAATATATTCATGCTATATATGTGTTCATATTGTTGTCTAGAATTAGAATAGCTCTCTTGCATTCTGAGGTTTAATTCTAGGTCTTTGAGTATATTCACCTAAGTAGTTGGATTAAGCTATTGGAGTTATCTAGGTCAACATTAAATAATGGAAATTTTCCCTTTTACTCATTGTTATTGCAAGAATATTTGCTTGACTTCTGTGTTGAGAACATTCATAAAGTACATGTTTTGGTTTCTAATTGGAGCTATATTATCTTGGTTTCTTTCTTTTGTTTTGATGGCATGAACATAGAGTTAGTTCTTGTTATTTATTGATTTTGCAATGCTTTTCTGCAACATCCTTCGTTCTCTTTTCGACCCAAGTAATTATGCAAAAATGAAGAAGCTGAATTTGTAGTATAATTATTAGGTACAACCATTTAGCCTAGTATTAATTCCGGATACCTAAGTTTTACTTAGTAATTAGCTAGATAAGTCCAAATGCGGATTTGAGGTCCTTTCTTGCATAAACACTTAGTCAAAAGGTTAGTTAATGCTAGCTAGAACAAATAAGTCTTGAGGTGTTAGTTGTTGAAAATATGTTGACAAATCTAGGTATCCTATTAAATTTAATTTCTTGTTGCAACTTTATATTTAATCATGGATATTCTGCTGATGTGAATAACCCATCAGGTGAATTCTCTAAACATCACCATCCACTTAGTTTTCCTTTTGACTTTCACCATCCACTTAGTTGGTTTCTATTATATTATTCATCCTAATTCCTTAGTGTTTGTTCTTTTGTGATGGTTAAGGTTTCAATCTTGATTTCTTCTTGTTTGTAATTAGCAATAAGAAAGACTATTTTGCATATTTTCTGGGTTTAGTTACAAATTTTGTTTATATGCTGATCAAGCACAATCTCGCCTTTTCTTTCCTTATTTATGATAAAGAAGTTAAAGTGTTTGGTAAGATTAGGTAAAGTTTGAGATTAGTTTTCTGGTGAACCATGACTTCCTCTTTGATTCTTTCCTTTCCTTTTGTTGTTTTTGACCCTTTAAGTCAGTTTTTATTATATTATTCATCTAAAAGTTTCTTTGTGTTTGTTGTTTTGTAATGATTAAGGTTTCTCAACCAATATGAGTGCATTAGATTTTTATATTACTTCCATATGTAATTAGTTAATTACTGAGTTGGCTTTTTGTTTGTTTAATGGTGATTAAATAGAAAGTGTCCTTCTCTTACTTTATACTTGAGAGAAGTCTTTAGAAAGATTAGATAAAGTTTGAGAATAGTTTTGTGGTGAACCTTTAAAATGAAATATAGGAAAATGTTCTCTTTTTATTGTTTTACCTTTTTTTTTTTCTAGTTTTTTTGTATTGATTTCCTATTTGATTTGTCCTTTTCTTTTTGTAGTTTATCATTCTCATATTTCAGTTTTTCAATGCACAAGTAACCAGAGCTACCCAACAGTATACGCAGAGGATTTAAAGGACATGTGGGATGATATGGCCAAGGTAGTGGGGGTATGGGAGATTGTCAATGAAAAAGATGTACATTCCATCAAAAAGCTCTGGGGAAGAGCATTTGAGCAACCATATGAGAAGGTTGGAGTTGGACTTGTCGTGGAATTTGAGAGGGTAGTCCCAGTGAAGCCACCAGTTTACTGGGAGGTTTCGGGTACAGATGTCAACACCAAATATAAGTCCATGATCCACAGATTCCTTCTAGAGGTAACTTTAAATTCTTATCTTCTTCAATGATGCTTTTGCCTTTGGTTTAGGACCAAAGGATCCAGAAACTCTTGGGGGAATTAAGAAAAAGAAAGTAATGGAACAAACACTACCATACCACATTGTAGCATCTAATGTCTTGCATTTCTTGTCACCTTGTGCCTTTTGCATTTGCCCCTCTTGACAAATCAGATAATCTTGAATGGACGCCCTTTATTAGTTAGATCATGATTGCATAGAAAATTCTTGCTTTTGGAAAACCCACTAACCATAGAAGAAGGAAAAAAACACAGATGACGGCATGATGCTATCCCAATGTCCCCATGTTAATTGATGATGTGTGCTAGTAGAATTTTGATGTTATGGTTAATATGATCTGTCATAATCTTGTTTTTGTGGTCCCTAAAGTAAGAGAAAGGAAAAGGATCTTAACTTTTGTGTCTTATTATCCTAAATCTTCCATCATAGTCTGTTGACAAAATAGTAAGATAAGTCTGCTAAAAAGCATTACTGTTTTCACACTAGCTTTATGAAGCACAGAAGATTGTTCTTAGGATAAATTTTAGCAAAAGAAAGTATACATTGGATGCTTGGCCATCGAGTTCTTAAACCTTTTTTGAAGATAATTTTGATAAATTTTCTAATCTGATGGCACAATTCAATTAGAACATACTAAATGTTTATGCTCAGATAGAACATTATGATGATTTTTTCTTCAAAAATGTATCTGATTTAAATGCTCATCAAAGATCTGGTTAGTTTTTTGGTTCTTTTACCATGAGAAATTTATTCCAGCTACTCAAAGGTTGGCATCATGACTTACCATGACAGGTATGTGTTTTTGTGAGGCTTCTATCTGGCATAAAGCCCATAAAGGAACACAATTTTCTACGTCTCCAGATAATAAGATGTCACAGGGAGCTTAAGCTAGATAAACCAGTCTCTGACTTCACCTGTGATTCATGGAAAAAGGCTGCTGTTGGGAGAATTAAGAAAGCACTTCTTCACCTCAGGCCTCATTCTGTTTGATGCTAACTCCTACTGCAAAATGCTAAGTGTATGGTTGAGGACGATCAATAGATGTTTGAGGTAGATTTGGTTGGAGAAAATAACTTATGTAAAATTAAAATGGCTTCTCTGTATGGAACTTATCAGAACTTTTTTTTTTAAACAGTCAATGTGTATGGTTGAGGACAATTAATATATGCTACTTTGTTCCTTTGTTTTTCATATTGAAATTCTTCTATGCTTTTTTGGGCAAGAGTAATTATGGTATTACCGTTAGTTAATTATGTAGAAACTGTTGAATTTTTTGTGTTTTTCATAGCAAACAAGCTGTTTCTTGAATTTACTTTGAAGAGCTCCTTTGGTCATTGACTTTGTCAGTAGAGGAATGGTAATTCTGTTCTTTTTTTTGGGTGATTGCATTTCTCAATGTAACTGTTCAACAAACAAATTATATGTATGCTTATGTTATCTGCTTTGTGAGTCTCATTGAATTAATTTGCTATAACCAATTCTGGGCAGGGGTAGTACCACCAAATATGTATGGTTACATAATTCTGGGCAGGTGTTGATGCGTGATTACATAATTATATTTTGGTGGTACTACCCAAATATATTTTGGAAACCTGTATTACATTCATCCATTTCAATACTGGAACAACAGGGCAAGTAATCAGGAGATAAGAGTTCTGATCTTCAACAGTATTTACAAAAGCAGCTAATCATATAATTAACAAAAACATTAACACAAAAACAGTACCAAGTGAAAAATATCATCCAATCCCCATGCAACCCTCCTGCATTACCCTAACCATAGGTATTGGTTTCCACTGGTTACAAAATAACAATTTTGCAGAAGCTTTCTTAGCATGGCCGGTAGGTAGACAACCCCATATACCTTCTCGGGGTAATTGAAATGGAGAGCAGTGCTACGGGCACTCGCTTATTGCACCCTCTGGCCAACACTTCCCCTTTCATTGGGCCACGTAAGCTTCTTTAAAGCTTTCAGGCGCAACCTGTCGGAAACCAAAATAACGTGGCCCAATCAAAGAGAAAGTGTTTGCCGGAGAGTGCAGGAGGCGAGTGCCCCTAGCATTGCTCTTGAAATGGATATATATGATGCATTTTCTGAAATATCTTATTTCACACATGCAACATTAACTCTACTCTTATACCATTGACACATTATCCCTCCCACCCTGTTAATTGCAGGAGCCGTAAACACTTCATCATACATGATTTGATCATTTAATTTCCAACGCCAATGATTCGGTCCCCAGCCACAGCGGTGTTGAAGATTATCATAATATCTGGTAGAGTTCAATGGTGGAGGAAGTTAACTGCTTCTCAGAAATGTGATCTTAGTGATCCTCTTGCATTCCACAAAACAACAGAATGATCAAACATAAATTACTATTATCCTTATATTAATCATATATTACAAATTATAGCTATATTACAAATGAGAGAAAAATAAATTACAAATATAAACTGGTTTATTGTTAATTATAAAAATTTGTAAAATAACAATTGTTTATATAAATATATATCTATATTTAGCAAACTTACTTAAAGAAATGTAATATTATATACTAACAACATATAATATAAAATCTATTACTATTATCCTTATATTAATCATATATTACAAATTATAGCTTTTTTTTTACCTATATTTTAGTCAATAAATTATTTTATAACTCTTTTCATATTAAAATTATAGTTACTTACCACATTAATTCAAAATTTTAAACTAAAAATATTTTAATGCAAGGTACACAATACCAACTTTTCATACATCCAACCATTATACACATGATTAGTAACTCTTAATATCTTGATGAATATACATAATTATCATTATAACTGTAGATATATCAAGTTTTTTATATTAAATAGTACACCTAGTGCAAGATAAATGATATAGTATCTTAAAGATAGTTTGACAAGGAAACTATGCACGATCTTGACCATTATAAATTCAGTTTTGAGAGCATTACGTTAAAGAACTCAATAATAAATGTGGAGTGCCAATCCTTATCTTAATATTTATTCCTTATGGTAAAAAGATTTGGAAAGCAAGATATGGCAAGATTTTACAGCTCTCATTAAGTTTCAATATCGCACGTACATCCATCACCTACTTTCCAAAAAAAATATCGCACATACATGTACAAATTAATGCTCTGCACACGTTTTTATTTTTGTTGTGTCAAATATTTAAATATGAAGGTAATAAATTATAATTTATATTAAAGATACAA